ACAATTGTCAACCATCAGAAAAATAATAATCATCATGTGTAGGATTTGTAATGCAGTCTACACAGGTGAAAATCATGGAAACTCCAAAAAAATTCTAAAAATGCACGAATTTGGGCGGAGACGGGAAAAAGTTAACTTCAAATCGAAGTTTCGAACTTCAAATTAAAACTTTTTGCTCTCTGGGCAAGACGGCCTGCAGTTGTTGTGAAACTCGTAGTAATCAAACATCCTCTTCGTTCCCATTGCGAGGTGGCTTGAAAACATTGCCGAAAACATATGGATTTATGTATGCGGGAATGACCCATTTTTATGGAACCCGTACGGTAGTACCAAGTAATGTCACCTTCRCAAAATTTCAAATGACTTCTCCGTCAGYCCTACTTATTGCTCCCAAACGGCAATCAAACATCCTCTTTGTTCCTTCCAAGTTACTTATTGTTCTAYTTCCGTAAAAATAAGCCAGAACTTTTTATGTGGTTTTACTGTGGAATATGTATGGTATGTGAAAATTCAATACAAGGAGTAACGCTGCGACAAGCCAGTGCATCACGACACGAGTTGCAGATTCTGATGGTTCCCAAACAGATCATGGCGACAGACTAATGCTAAAAATGCGGTAATTCTAAGGGTATCTTTTTCATCTTGTGYCTTGCAGTACAGCACGGTACAACATACAAAACATAGTCGCAGCTCAGAACTTTGCCAAAGGGATTAAAATCAAAAGGCGCTTTGCTGTATCGGAGTTCCTGGTCTGTTATCATTCTTCTATTTATGTCTCCTGTTGAGACGACCTCGAGTATTCTTTTGTCATCTTCCTAAGRGCAGTAATAACGAACAAACGAACAATGCTGACCGAGCACTCAACATCATTTGAATACAAAAAAGACGGTGGACTTGATGTTCCGCTGTTTGATCCTAAACCTTCTGACCGTACTGTTGAGGCAGATATTTCGGAAGAGCTCCTTAAGCTCTCCCTTTTTGATCGATCGGCCGTGGAAGAGGAGGTTCATGGGGTCCGGTGTATGGCCGTTCAGGAAACACCGAAACTGGTGACCGATGGTCTTAGGGAGTTTGACGCAGAATTGATTCGCATAAAGAGAGAGCGAGAACGGGTCAATCATAGTCAGCGGCGACCGGAGGAGAGGGAATCCTTCGGAAATGTGCTGAGAAACGTCTTAGAACCAGAAGAAAAAGACGACTACATTTACTTTTCATGCTGCAAAAACAAATACGAGGAAATCAGAATGCAGCACAACAACTGCCAGCACCCAGCGCATCCGAAAAAGAAAAGCGATTGCTATCTAAACGATCCATCTGTCCGGTTGAGATTCTTGAGGTGTGAKTGTTTTGACGTAAAAAAAGCTGTCGAYAGGTTCGTCAGCTACCTGGACTTTACCCAACTCCTTTTTGGAGATTTCATTGCGCATCGCCCATGYCGGTATTCAGACTTTCAAAACGATTTTGATAACACGTGCAATCACAATAAAGACGAGCTCAAAAGCCTATTGCAGTCAAGACTTACATACTTACCGTTCCGTGATAGAGCCGGAAGGCGAATTTGTTGCGCGGTGGGACACAGCAACTTCAAGGTTGACCCCGCATTGCGACTCAAGATTATAATGTACATGGACTGGATTGTTTCAGAAGACATCGAAACCCAGCAGAAAGGCATAGTTATTATAGCCTGGCCGAGCGGAGAGGAAGTACCTTGTGCTCCCGATAAGGAATCAGAAAGAGACAACATCGAATGTGATGCAAATGCCAATGAAAGCCAGGGAGAGGACATCTGGGAGCGGTACATACGACCTTCGTTGTCAAAAAGAGATATTTGGTTCCAGAAAAGAGGCTTTGAGAGCACTCCCCTGCGGATCGCCTCAATCCACTTTTGTGCAAAAGATACGTCACTATACCACRTAATRAGCTCTTTCTATTACTTTGGCTTGAATCAAGACCACAAAAAACGCTACAAAGCCCAATTCGGTAAGCACTGCATAGTTTAGATAATGCGAACAAAATACGCATGCATATTATTTATTCGTTTCCCCCTCAAAAGTGATGGTATCTAATGCAGAGCTAACGAAACTGGGTACGTTCATCTGTATTCTCAAACCACAGGGAACCAAATCGAAATCCTATACAAACTGCAGCAGTATGGAATCCCGGCCCATTTGCTTCCATTGACGCACACTGGCGCTGTAAAGACCAATGTTCATGCTCAGTGGATGAAGTCACAGAAGCGAATCGAGGACCAACGTGAAAAAATTCTCCTTCAGCGCAAGAATAGTTTCAATGGCGAAGTGCAGAGCATCAGCAAAGTCGGAAAGCTAGTATTTAGCACTTCTGAGACGGATTCACRCAATGAAGAAGGAAAAGCAGAACCTAAAGTGTGGGTGGAATGCCCCAGGTCGTACGATGTGATATTTCGGAGGGGAAATACATACTCTCAACTCCATCTGGGCAATCTAAACTACAAGAACTTGATTGAAAAAGTCATGGAGGAGCACTTTGCAGCGAAAAAAAGACAGGAGAAGATCGATCTTACGTGGAGGGTCGTCAATGAGATTGAAACTGTCTGGAATGGCCGCTTTTTGAATTGGGATGCATMTTGGAAGACCCATGTCCAGATCACAGATCGCAAAGAGATGCGCAGTAAGGTGGCYCGATCCATCAAGGAAGCGGCCAGGGGGGTCCGAAAGAGTAAGGGTACTTCGAGGACAATAGGTATTAAAAGTGGCACTACCACTGGTGGAAGGAGTCATTCTCYCATAAAACGACGGAAAACAGCCGCAACGACATCGGCTGCAACCAATCGAGAGGTAACCAGAATGTCGCTGCCTGGTTGTTTAGATTTCGGTAGCGCATCTAAGGTCGGGTTCTTCTGATGTAGAATAGTTCGCGTATAAAAAAGCACATTACAATAAGCCCAATAGTTTCCTTTCATTGTATGCTGGGCTTTAAAAACTGGATTTTCTCGTTCAATCTTGTATTACACACTGATGACGACAATACTTGGGCAATAACAATATGTTCATATTTTCTCAGTTCATGAAACGAAGAGAAAGTCGTGTCTGTAGGCAAAGCCATCGACTTACACCCCTTCCGTTTTGCGGCAACGATACGCAGGATTACCTAGTGTTGATATAAAATACATAAATGATCAAGTATTTGTAAAGTTACTGTACACATTGTTTCATTTTATTAGCACTACTCGTAAGAACCTCAAAATTCTTAAGATGAACTTGGGACGCAAAATTCTTTCGAGTCTATACTTCTGAATCTAGATCCTTCAAAGATGGATTTTCCGTCCAAAAATCCTTCGTATTTGCCCTGCCCATAATTGCAACACAAACCATCTCCGTAGAGATCAGTAATCTGAAAGATGTAGCATTCCCCTCGCGGCAGACAATATGCATCATCAGGACCAGGRAATTCATATGCTTTGTTGTTCTCGTATCGCTCAATTCCCTTCTCAATAATCGCGTTGGTTTTTTTGTTGCGAAATGCCCACTTAGTTTCATATCCATAGGCATCAGTTTTGAGGTTAATCTTGAAGAGACTCCCAGCACAGGGCTGAGAAGTTGGAGCAACAGATGGGCTGCTGGATGGAGATCCTGAAGGGAAAGAGGAGGGACTGGATGATAATACCGTTGCTGGCGGTGCAGGAGAAGATATGGTGAATGTCTCAACTGCTCTGCGTCGAAATTCGCCACCTTCAAAAAGTACTTTACCTTCAGAATAACCCACATAACTTCCCTGTCCATAATTACAGCAAATTCCGTCTAAACAAAGGAGAGGAGAAGAGAACAGTGTTCGTGAGGAACTGGAACATCACYAAAGAAAACAAAACAAGATAGCTCTCAATCTGCGTGTGGAATGACAGGACTCACCACCCCATCTATCAACGATAGAAAAAGTGTATGGCACGTCTGGACACAAACCTGAAATAGTTTCCTAAAATGTCCGAAGAGTTGAAAATATGGTAAGCGCGATCTAATGTGAAGCATGGTAGAAAATGYGTTTCGTAAGCGCATCRCATGAGCAAGTACCTTACCGTGTATGTTTTCAACGGCTCAAGGTATCCGTCTTTTCGTATTAATATTTGATTGTTGGAATCTATGACGCCCCAGAATGTCTCCGACGGATACTTGTCTGTCTTCAGACGAATTTCAAGTGATGCCTGACACTTGTTTGATATCGAAGGCATATTTGAAGGTGGATTTGTTGGCCTCCCAGTAGGCCTTTTAGTTGGCCTTCTTGATGGCTCTTCGCTGATACTCAATGCTGGGATTAAACTTGGGACATTAGTTGGACCCTTAGTGGGAAAGAGAGTTGGGATGTCAGATGGACTCTTGGTGGGGAAAAGAGTTGGGACGTCAGATGGACTCTTGGTGGGGAAGAGAGTTGGGACGTCAGATGAACTCTTGGTGGGGATGAGAGTTGGGACGTCAGATGAACTCTTGGTGGGGAAGAGCGTTGGGACGTTAGTTGGACTTTTGGTGGGAGAGTGGGTTGGAGCATCAGTCGGACTTCGGGTGGGAACGTTCGTGGGAACGTTCGTTGGAACGTTCGTTGGAACGTTCGTTGGAACGTTCGTTGGAACGTTCGTTGGAACGTTCGTTGGGACGTGCGTCGGAGAATTTGTCGGATTTCTACTAGGAAAAGTACTTGGAAAGTCAGTCGGACTTGGAGTGGGGACATTACTGGGGGCGCTCGTCGGATTTTTGGTAGGAGATTTGGTCGGATTTTTGGTAGGAGATTTGGTCGGACTCATGGTGGGAAAGTTACTAGGAACCTCAGTCGGACTTCTGCTGGGAGATACACTTGGAGCGTTAGTTGGAATTGAGCTCGGAAATTCGCTTGGGAAAACCGTTGGGGTTTCGCTTGGATGTTGAGTTGGGAAATCAGTTGGACTTGAGCTAGGAAGACCGGTTGGGCTTGAGCTGGGAAAATGACTTGGAGATGTGCTGGGGAAGTCACTAGGCCCTTCTGAGGGTAAACTTGACGGAAATAGACTTGGTAACCCCGTAGGCTCTTCGCTGTGAGTTTCACTAGGTACCATTGACGGAGACGCAGAGGGTAGTTCACTCGGTGCTGTAGATGTCGACGGTTTTTCACTAGGACTTTTGCTTGGCATTGAACTGGGCACTAGAGATGTGCTGGGGGATGCACTCGGAGATGCACTCGGGGCGATAGTCGGGGAAGCACTTTCAATATACGAAGGGCCTGCACTTGGTTGTRCACTCGGTGAATTGGAAGGTGACAGGGTACGCCGRTTAATAATAAACGGCTCARCAAGCCTAAACTCAAACTCCGAAGCTTCAAAAATGATATTTCCATCGTAGGTTCCAACAATACTTCCGTTTCCTTGCTCGCAACAAATTCCGTCTACAAGTTACAAAAGACGCCGTTAAGAGAATGTTTTACTATTCAAAAAACATGATTGACTTTCAAACGCTTGCCATACACTATACTCACCTCTGTATCTATCAACTGCAACAAATGTGTACTGTACATTGTCACAGAGACCTTCTACTACGGTCTGAAAGTGTCGAAGGCGGCAAACACAGTTTTTGTAAGGGTGCTATACCTATTTTTCTATTTGAAGGATCATTGTACTCAATCAATAACAGAAAACTTACCCTGGAAGATGAATTGGGATCAGTGTAGCCATCTTGTCCAGCAATAATTGCGCCGCCGGGATCTGTAATACCCCAGTATGTCTCCTGTGGATAGTTATCCGTCACAACATCTACGATAATTTGCGTTTCACACGGTGGCGGTTCGGGTAGGCTCGGGTCAAACAAGCTTAGCTCGATGACAGCGTCTTCKACGTTCGCGTTTTCGACGAATTTCACAAGCACGTTTTCTTCGAATATCGCATATTCACTTCCAGCATCCATAGCAACGAGAAGCTTCGATTTCCCAGTTGTATACCGGTAGGGGATAGTCATTTTCGTGACCGTCACCTGATCTCCCGAAGCCAATGTCCCACGATTGAAGCTCGCCTTCCTGTTAAATCCGAGATAAAAGTCACCGATACGGATAACGACATAACCGTTTGCATTGCCGTCCTGATAATCGACGACTCCGTTCAATATGTAAGTACTTGGCCCATTTCTCAAAGATTCGGGCTCCACGCTCAGAAGTTTATCATCGTACCAACCAAGTTGCCAGTTCTTYGCTGGATTGAAGCACTGTATCGGGCCGTCGTCATTCAAATCTTTAAAAAAAATAGATCCGATTGAAAATCAAAAAACAAACCTTTTGAGAAAACTAAAGAGTCAACCTGTATCTGATTTATCCGTGGAGATTAATGCGAGAACTTTTTTACTTACAAGAGAAACCCATCTAAATGAGTGAGATAAGGAAACAATGATATGATATGGAAGCAAATTTAAAAGGAGATGAAACGGCAGTAGGGTATGAGACAACACTGTCCGCAAATGATTTTCCTTTTGGTGCATCTYAAAAGATAACGCAACGTACCATTCCAGATGCATCACCGTAGTCCTGAGTAATCGCGTCACCATAATAAACGCCYGAATGCTCAAGATTTAGATTGTGCCCGACCTCTGCAGAAAGAGAAGATGAAAAGAAATTGAGATTGCATTCAAGTATATGATAATGTTTTGCTTCGGCGAAAAGGYCACAGAAAAGGACAGAGCAGTACTGCTCGAACAACACAATGGAGCGCTTCGAAAGTTTAGTTTCTTCCCATTCCAGTCAGTTCTAGTGGAACTTGCTGCTTCAACTTACCATGCAATGTTGCGGACAGCGAACCGCAGTATGGACCATTGTAATACGAGTCCCATCGATTGAGGTATGCGTAGGCAACCCAGGATCCAGATCCCGGAGGGAGACACTACAATAGGTCATCACAAYATTGGCAGCGTACAAAGTAACGAAAGAAATAGGMACAGGATTGATTATTGATGTGGAGAAAATGGCAAGGTGAGATATGGCGAGGGGCGTGTCTAGAGGACCCACACAACACTATACTAGCCATTCCAGGGAATCAAGACAAAAAAAGTCTGCTCTCGAATAAAATTACTCTTCACTTACAAAGAGGACCAGGTCAAAGATACCGTTGAGGCCTCCGCTCCACRKGCTGACACCAAAAAGATCCCGCGCGGCACTGTTGGCTAGGCGCTGTAAATTGTAAGAGGATGATTCCWCGGCGTTAATGTTGATTTGGACGTCCACAATGCCCCCAGCAACGCCTTCTGCAACGGGAACCGTGACCTCTTCGTCGGGAAGATATTCGGTAATGTTCARTTTATCGAAGGAGCACCGTTTGTATTGCGAYTTCAAGCAGTACTCATCGCCAAACATGTCATCGTATAGCTTTTCTGCGGAAGGAGGCTCTGTATCGCTGGCGCTGACACGAACCACAAGGGTTCGCAGGTTCCCGATCGAATCAGCGAGACCCCGCCGCACCATGAGGTCGTYGTTCTCGGTGACCTCGATCGCATTGTCCTCCATGGCCACGACCTGGTTCCTGCCGAGGTGCAGCTCCTGGTTCTCGGACTCCGTCATGGCCAATTCCACTCCCGTGGACAAAATGAGCGTGGTAGTTCCGCTCTCTGCACCCTGTTCGTCCAGGAATGCATCCACATCGAAGTGATTAGTACCAATTATGTGGTGATCCCTTGTCTGGGCTTGCGTGGCCTCCAGGAGGTCCGGGTTGGTGAACTCGCACTCCCAGTGTGATTCTTCGTACTCTTCGTATCTAATTTCCACCTTCCACAGTCGGCACGTTGTTTCCTCTGTCGTCAAGTGTCGGCGAAGACGACCCTGACCTGCAGGAATCTGTCTAGTTATGTTGTCAGTCCGCATTGCATTACTATTTCTACTGTTGTTTTTTATTTTGTTACTGCTGCTACCGCTTCGCCTACGTCCTCGAACAGACGAGTGCCCCGTGTTCGGAGACGAGACGGAGGAATACTATCAACGGATGAACAACGAATGATTGCATTTCACGACATATTCCGCATTGTGTCAGCAAGGAGTAGAGGATTATCGAAAAAGSAATACGTGAATTGTGAGATGAATGTTGTCCCTCGATGGGCAGTCAGTCGGTTGTGACCCCCGAACGTGAAACTAAGAACTGCCAGGAGAACGAACGTAACTAAGCAGTCAATCACGACCAACAATCACCGGTACAGTGAATAGAAACAAATCAAAAATAAAATAATGAAACTCACAGGCGTCTTGTCGTCCCTGTCGTATCGTTCATATACATGTCCCTTCTCACCCAAGAGCATCAATCGTTCTGTTTCTGACTGTTGGCCCATTGCGTCGTATATTAGTTGTAAACACAGCAGCGCACCTAACGATGCAACAGCAGCCGAGCGCGGCAGCATCGTTCCAGTTATTGCTTATGTTGCCCTCTATATATATTGTCAAMTACTGGTGTCGGTTGCCTCGCTGTCATGGAAGATCCTTACTCTTTGGATTGTTGGTTGGGTTGTGCGACTGTTTTACCCTTTYGAGCAAGAGCAGCCTAACGAACCTTACATGCAGCGCCTGACGCAATCATGAAGAAAGGAAATTTAGAGACAAGATGGAAAGAAAACATATATTACTTAACAGCTATCAATATACCTAAAAAAAAAATCATTCCCAACCATATTTAAAATGTCATTTTCACGCAAAAGGCTTACTTTCGACTACAATAAAAAATTTGGAGAAACGATKGCATTATTTGAATATTGTCTATTGGTCTAAATTGCATTTAACAATTTCTTCACTCTAGAAGATAATAAGGTTGTAGGGATAATAGCCACGAGCACATGTTGAGAGAAGATTTTTTTTCAACTTTCGGCGTCGTTGTTGGGTGGAAGAGAGTCATAAGTAGTTTTGATTAATATTGAAAAGAGAAGCATTTCTCTTCTGCTTACGAGCGCCATTTCGCTCCTGGAACATTTCTTCAAGAGGAAAATGCAGCACTATTTCGTTGATTGTACCTGAGAGCTCCGTAGAAAATTAAGTATGACGATATACTTCTAGCACCGTAAAAGTGAAAWCTGTCTTAAAAACAAAAATAATGATAAATGGAATTAGGAATTCAAGCACTGGTAGTAACTATTGAACTCGTAATTGATCCGGAGTGAAAACCAATCGTACGGTATCAAAATAATTGTAGCGTAAAGAAGGTCTTCGAAGATCACTCAACTCAGCTTCGTGTTGTAATCTGGCAGAAAAACACGGATTGTTAGTTTGCTAATCGTGAAGTTCTTATTTGACAACAAGAATTACGACCAGTGTGTTTTTTCCATACGGCACCACAACGTTGGCGACCCATAGCAGCCCATGGCATTTCTAAGAAAAAAAGTACGAGTACTCATAGTAGCACACAACAATTYAAAGTTACTACCATCTCAATCGTCATCCTTTTTTTGTTGTATTACTTCCTCTGTCCCATAGAAATAGGTGCCCCCTACTATGCACCACCTCTACTATTTGCAAAATAAGCTTAATGTTTGGGCGACTGGAATGCTTCTTTTTGTGCTTAATAGATCTATTTTAAACGTGTTCAATTACGAGCATTTTATTGAACGAGAGTATCTAATGTACCATAGCTGTTCAAACAGGGCCTGTTTGGCTTATAAATGTGATTTTAGTAGTACCCTCAGTTGCTGGCCAATAGAAGTCCTCACCATTTAAGCATGCGAGTTGCAGCTATTGAAAGCTAAGACTGARAGGCAGGTTCTTCTTCTTTATCATGATAAAATTCTTCTTATAGTACTACTAGTACTTAAGGAGAGTGATCAAGTGGTAGTATTGGCCATTCTTGTTCTCAAGAGGTCAATGATATTCATGTATGAATATACTACAGCTCCACAATTGAGTTGTCTTTTTTTCAAATGCCAATGCTAGTACTAGTACACAACAACRACATGGGTAGAATTAAGGTTATTTCATTCATGAAATGACAAGGAAGAACAAAGAATGTAAAGAAATGTACAAAGCACCCCCTCTGGAGGAGGAGTGACCAACAATAATCACAAATGAATATTCTCAACATTTCTTGTTAGCACATCAAGAATAGTCCCACCAACTCTTTGGTCTTGGGTATCATGTACAAACAAAATGAGATTATTTTTTGTGCCATCTCAAGCATCCTTTGTAAATTTAGTATTTTGTATAAAAAAAGAGGATCAGTTAGACCTTCTTCAAGCTGGCATAATACWAYAWKWTRTT